AAAAATTCTTTTTGTGTTCTTTATAATATTTTTGTATCAATGCTCAGTATTAGACTGTATCATGTAGTTGTGGAAATATGACAGAAATATGCGAAACAAAAGACTGTGTGCTTGCATCATTCATTTGTGTTTAGCTGTTCATAAAACACTGATAACTTGTACAAAAAATCTGTACAAATTATTATACAACATTACAACTGGTACACAACACGGTTCATTCCTTCTATTCCCACTTTTTATAAATAGGCTCAGACAGGAGTTAAATGTACCATAAAACATATAACAAATAGACAACGTATTATTTTTTTTCTAAATAATATTATACTTCATTTGTACTTAAACAGTGTAAGAAATATGTTTTCTTTTAAAAAATACAGGTAAATCTTTGATTGTTATAAAAACAAATTAGTTATCCAAACATCTATTGTTATTTGCATGTGGGAATAGAAGGAATAGTGATTTTTAAAAAGTGGGAATAGGAGGAAGACACCATTCCTTCTATTCCCACTTTTTATAAATCTGGTAAGGAAAATTAAAATTTCATGTGGGAATAGGGGGAAAACTTGTGCAGACAAAGGATTATACTGTATAAACATTGTTTAATCAACTTTTAATTGACAAGTGTTTTTTAGGACAGGTAATAGGTTATTTTTGTATGTGTATGCATTCTGTGTTTTTAATCAAAATAAATATGAAAGAAATGGAAACAGATATAAGTAAATTATTTTATTTCTTTTATAACACAAATTCAACAGTAGATTCAAGCAAGCATTTAAATATGAAACAAACAATACAACAGCACTAAAACAAATCACACATTGTAGCACACACATAAGAAATTCACTGTATATACCGGTAAGTCTATTAAAGTTTATTAATCTATTCAACGTGAAGATGGTGGGAGTCTGCATCACCAAACTGTACTGTTGTGACTTCCTGGTTGCGGTGTCTAACTTAAGCTCTTCTAATCTGTTGTTGATTTCAACATACTTTCCGGTTTTTGGGCCACTGACTCTTCCCAGCTGCTGCATACTGGATCATGGTCAGGGCGTTGAAAGCTTCCTCATGTTTCAGTAATTTTATGAGTTTAAAGATGTTTGGATGTGGGTGCTGGACATGTTTCTTCAGCTTGCTGTGCCAACCCTCTAGATGATTTGTAGTCCTCGGTCCCTGTGTTGTGTAATGGTTCCAAAGGTGACTGTTCTGTTCGTCCCAGTATGTTGTTACACAGTCTGTAAAGGACATGTAGTTGATGTTAGTATCAATCTGATCTATGTCTGTTAGGGCACTGAACCACACATCTTCAACTTCAGCAGTAGGTACAAGTGGAAGGACAGTGGCTCGGCGTACTAGTTGAAGAATGTTGTTGTCTTCCTTGTATGGAACCTGAAGACCTTTTTTCTAGTGCTCTTCTCCAGATGCATGTGTGTTGTGGAAAAAAAAGCCTTTTGCGTTGATGCCAGGAAATACAGAATAAGCTGCATTTCGGATGGCGACTTCATAGTCCAGGAAGATAGTGGTAGGCTGAAGTTGTAGTTGGTGTTGGTGGCATACATCTTTGAGTAAAGTCAGGAACCTTGTGTATTCTAATTCGCTCTTTGCTACATTGCGCAGTCAATCATTGCGTTGTGAAATGTGTAAAGTTGGAAAAATAGGCTCAGACAGGAGTTAAATGTACCATAAAACATATAACAAATAGACAACGTATTATTTTTTTTCTAAATAATATTATACTTCATTTGTACTTAAACAGTGTAAGAAATATGTTTTCTTTTAAAAAATACAGGTAAATCTTTGATTGTTATAAAAACAAATTAGTTATCCAAACATCTATTGTTATTTGCATGTGGGAATAGAAGGAATAGTGATTTTTAAAAAGTGGGAATAGGAGGAAGACACCATTCCTTCTATTCCCACTTTTTATAAATCTGGTAAGGAAAATTAAAATTTCATGTGGGAATAGGGGGAAAACTTGTGCAGACAAAGGATTATACTGTATAAACATTGTTTAATCAACTTTTAATTGACAAGTGTTTTTTAGGACAGGTAATAGGTTATTTTTGTATGTGTATGCATTCTGTGTTTTTAATCAAAATAAATATGAAAGAAATGGAAACAGATATAAGTAAATTATTTTATTTCTTTTATAACACAAATTCAACAGTAGATTCAAGCAAGCATTTAAATATGAAACAAACAATACAACAGCACTAAAACAAATCACACATTGTAGCACACACATAAGAAATTCACTGTATATAAGTCTATTAAAGTTTATTAATCTATTCAACGTGAAGATGGTGGGAGTCTGCATCACCAAACTGTACTGTTGTGACTTCCTGGTTGCGGTGTCTAACTTAAGCTCTTCTAATCTGTTGTTGATTTCAACATACTTTCCGGTTTTTGGGCCACTGACTCTTCCCAGCTGCTGCATACTGGATCATGGTCAGGGCGTTGAAAGCTTCCTCATGTTTCAGTAATTTTATGAGTTTAAAGATGTTTGGATGTGGGTGCTGGACATGTTTCTTCAGCTTGCTGTGCCAACCCTCTAGATGATTTGTAGTCCTCGGTCCCTGTGTTGTGTAATGGTTCCAAAGGTGACTGTTCTGTTCGTCCCAGTATGTTGTTACACAGTCTGTAAAGGACATGTAGTTGATGTTAGTATCAATCTGATCTATGTCTGTTAGGGCACTGAACCACACATCTTCAACTTCAGCAGTAGGTACAAGTGGAAGGACAGTGGCTCGGCGTACTAGTTGAAGAATGTTGTTGTCTTCCTTGTATGGAACCTGAAGACCTTTTTTCTAGTGCTCTTCTCCAGATGCATGTGTGTTGTGGAAAAAAAAGCCTTTTGCGTTGATGCCAGGAAATACAGAATAAGCTGCATTTCGGATGGCGACTTCATAGTCCAGGAAGATAGTGGTAGGCTGAAGTTGTAGTTGGTGTTGGTGGCATACATCTTTGAGTAAAGTCAGGAACCTTGTGTATTCTAATTCGCTCTTTGCTACATTGCGCAGTCAATCATTGCGTTGTGAAATGTGTAAAGTTGGAAAAATAGGCTCAGACAGGAGTTAAATGTACCATAAAACATATAACAAATAGACAACGTATTATTTTTTTTCTAAATAATATTATACTTCATTTGTACTTAAACAGTGTAAGAAATATGTTTTCTTTTAAAAAATACAGGTAAATCTTTGATTGTTATAAAAACAAATTAGTTATCCAAACATCTATTGTTATTTGCATGTGGGAATAGAAGGAATAGTGATTTTTAAAAAGTGGGAATAGGAGGAAGACACCATTCCTTCTATTCCCACTTTTTATAAATCTGGTAAGGAAAATTAAAATTTCATGTGGGAATAGGGGGAAAACTTGTGCAGACAAAGGATTATACTGTATAAACATTGTTTAATCAACTTTTAATTGACAAGTGTTTTTTAGGACAGGTAATAGGTTATTTTTGTATGTGTATGCATTCTGTGTTTTTAATCAAAATAAATATGAAAGAAATGGAAACAGATATAAGTAAATTATTTTATTTCTTTTATAACACAAATTCAACAGTAGATTCAAGCAAGCATTTAAATATGAAACAAACAATACAACAGCACTAAAACAAATCACACATTGTAGCACACACATAAGAAATTCACTGTATATAAGTCTATTAAAGTTTATTAATCTATTCAACGTGAAGATGGTGGGAGTCTGCATCACCAAACTGTACTGTTGTGACTTCCTGGTTGCGGTGTCTAACTTAAGCTCTTCTAATCTGTTGTTGATTTCAACATACTTTCCGGTTTTTGGGCCACTGACTCTTCCCAGCTGCTGCATACTGGATCATGGTCAGGGCGTTGAAAGCTTCCTCATGTTTCAGTAATTTTATGAGTTTAAAGATGTTTGGATGTGGGTGCTGGACATGTTTCTTCAGCTTGCTGTGCCAACCCTCTAGATGATTTGTAGTCCTCGGTCCCTGTGTTGTGTAATGGTTCCAAAGGTGACTGTTCTGTTCGTCCCAGTATGTTGTTACACAGTCTGTAAAGGACATGTAGTTGATGTTAGTATCAATCTGATCTATGTCTGTTAGGGCACTGAACCACACATCTTCAACTTCAGCAGTAGGTACAAGTGGAAGGACAGTGGCTCGGCGTACTAGTTGAAGAATGTTGTTGTCTTCCTTGTATGGAACCTGAAGACCTTTTTTCTAGTGCTCTTCTCCAGATGCATTGTGTGTTGTGGAAAAAAAAGCCTTTTGCGTTGATGTCAGGAAATACAGAATTAGTTGCATTTCGGATGGCGACTTCATAGTCCAGGAAGATAGTGGTAGGCTGAAGTTGTAGTTGGTGTCATACATCTTTGAGTAAAGTCAGGAACCTTGTGTATACTAATTCGCTCTTTGCTACATTGCGCAGTCAATCATTGCGTTGTGAAATGTGTAAAGTTGGAAAAATAGGCTCAGACAGGAGTTAAATGTACCATAAAACATATAACAAATAGACAACGTATTATTTTTTTTTTTTTTCTAAATAATATTATACTTCATTTGTACTTAAACAGTGTAAGAAATATGTTTTCTTTTAAAAAATACAGGTAAATCTTTGATTGTTATAAAAACAAATTAGTTATCCAAACATCTATTGTTATTTGCATGTGGGAATAGAAGGAATAGTGATTTTTAAAAAAGTGGGAATAGGAGGAAGACACCCACAACACATACATCATTTAGCATCAATCACTTGTATTATGTCTAATTACATTACATGTTTAGAAGTAACTTGCTTATAATTGTTTATCTTTTTGTAGCTTTTTACCTTCTACTTGGAAGTTTGTGATGAGAATAAAAGAATTACAGCAAAGATTTGTTAGTTGTTAGGCATTACACTGTGCATATTTAATAAGGTCATTTTTTACTTAAAATTGTAAGGGTTATCTGTGAACATGGTAAATTTTAATAAGGCATACAGTAAGTACTCAACCAATTTTTCTTTTTTTTGCAGTTACTAGCTCGTCTTGGGAGCAGGCCCAGTATTCAAGGCATAGAAGACACATTATTCTTAGATGGCCCTAATGTGAAAGATGTGTATGAGTTGTATGGTGTTGAAGGATCAGGAAAGACCGAGTTATTATTATCTCTTGTAACATCAATCCTCTTGCCCAAAGATTGGAATGGTTATAATTTAAATGGAGCAAATGCTGGAGTAATATTTATTGATACAGATTATAAACTTCAAATATTGCGTCTTGTGAATATTATGGAGAAACGAATCATGGTAAAGACTGAACATGACAAACTGGACACAAATAAAAAGATGTCCTCAAATGATATTGAAGTTCTGGTGAAAGAGTGTTTAAAGAAAATAATGATTGTTAGGTGTACAAGTAGTTTTCAGTTACTTGTTACCTTGCATAGTTTAGAATCAACAATTTCAAACAATCCTGATATAGCTGTTATTATGATTGACTCCATTTCTGCATTTTACTGGATTGATAGATGTAATGGCGGTGAAAATATTGGGGCACAGGAAACAAATATGAATCATATTGTAAAACAATTGTCAAAACTCATAAACAACTATAATTTAGTATTGTTTGCTACAAAAGCATTAAACTTTAAAAAGACCAATAAAGAGAATGAATTAAAGGGGGGAAACTGTGCATCTCCATCAGAGAAGAAAGTATTAAAAGACAACCATGCTGAATTTTTATGTAAATCTTGGTATAAGTTTGTAAAACATAGACTTATATTTCACAAGGAGAAGTCTTTCAGTGTTTATTGTAATTCATTAAATATTGACATTCAGTTTACAGTAAATGAAGGTGGTATATGTTTTAAATGAAATAAATAAATGTTTTCAAGAAAATAGAAAGAGAAACATTGCATAGATATTTATGTTGACATGAAGTAAAAATGCAAGGAACAGTCAAATGTTACATACAGTAGAACATTTTCAAGTTGAAATCAGGAAGTAAAAAGATGTCTTTCCCATTCTTATTAAATTCTATATATTTATGTAAAAAATAAAATGCTCCGCTGGGCGCAGCTTGATACGACCACAGAGGTCAAACCCTGAACAGTTGGCGCAAGTATGGACACAACATTCAAGCTTGATACAGCACTGAATTTGGATTGTGATTAAATATTTGACACAGCATAGGTTTCTGACACAGAATGAATGTGGTCCAAGAACTTAAAAAAATTTAATTTACCTATTCATATCATTATTATTTGCTTTTATATATAAATCAGAAATAACCAATTTAAAATGGAAAATTTTAAAGAAAAAAAAGAGGAAAAAAATCCCCCCCCCCCCAATTTTTTGAACCCCCTTATGATTCATCACCCCAAAACTCAATCCCAGCCTTCCCTTTGTGGTATGGTACCTTGCAGTACAATTTCAGAGAGATCCATACACTTGAACACAAGTTATTGTCTGGAAACTAGAAAAATGCTTGTCTTTTGGCCCCAAATTCCTAAACATTTAGGGCAATTACCCCCAAACTCAAACCCAGCTTTCCCTTTGTGATATGGAACATTGTAGTACAATTTCATAAAGATCCATACACTTACACACAAGTTATTGTCCTGAAACTAGAAAAATGCTTGTTTTTTTGCCTTTTTTTGGCTCCTAATTCCTAAAATTTTGAGGCAATTACAACCAAAATCAATCCCAGCCTACCCTTTGTGGTATGGTACCTTGCAGTGCAATTTCAGAGAGATCCATACACTTGAACACAAGTAATTGTCTGGAAACTAGAAAAATGCTTATTTTTGGCCCCTTATTTCTAAACGTTTTGGGCAATTACCCCCAAACTCAATTCCAGCTTTCCCTTTGTGATATGGAACCTTGTAGTACAATTTCATAAAGATCCATACACTTACACACAAGTTATTGTCATGAAACTAGAAAAATGCTTGTTTTTTGCCCCTTTTTTTGCCCCTAATTCCTAAAATTTGGAGGCAATTCCCAAAATCAATCCCAGCATTCCCTTTGTGATATGGGACCTTGTGGTACAATGTCAGACAGATCCATACACTAATACACAAGTTATGTCTGGAAGTTACAAAAATGCTTATTTTTGGCCCCTTATTCCTTAACTGATGGTACGTTAACCCCCAAAATCAATCCCAACCTTCCTTTTGTGGTATTGAACCTTAAGGTAAAATTAGAGATCCATTCACTTAAACTAAAGTTAGTGTGTGAAAACCAATGTGTCTTCGTACGATGACGACGCCAACGTCATACCAATATTTGACCGCAACATTTTTTTGCGGTCGTATAAAAATTAGACTTACTTGGCTGCACACATTTAGTTTTAGGATCAGAAATAGGTGACCCTTGTCTTATTGTCGATTTCTCCTAATCTCCTTTTATTTAGTATATTTAATGTACTGAATTGTTAAACAAATATTTAATTGTTGATATAAAAATAAGATGTGGTATGATTGCTAATGAGACAACTATCCAGTTAAGACCAAATGACAAAGATATTACTTTTTTCTACTTTCTTATATGTCATCAATGCAAATGTAAGATCGGGTACATTAGAAAATACCAAAGTAAAAGCAAAATTGAGAATGGAAATAAGGAATGTGTCAAAGAGACAACAACCCGACCATAGATCAGACAACAGCCGAAGGCCACCAATGGGTCTTCAATGCAGCGAGAAACTCCCGCACCCGGAGGCGTCCTTCAGCTGGCCCCTAAACAAATATGTATACTAGTTCAGTGATAATGGACGTCATACTAAACTCCAAATTATACACAAGAAACTAAAATTAAAAATGATACAAGACTAACAAAGGCCAGAGGCTCCTGACTTGGGACAGGCGCAAAAATGCTCATTAATGCTATTATACCAAAAAGTTGTAAAAAGAAGTCAACATAAGCACCATTCAATATTTGATATAACTATGAGAATCGGTATGGAGGTGAATGAGACAATTATACACCTGAAACCAGAGGACAAGGAAGTGATCAAATATAAGTTGCCATACAACCTTCAAATAATGAGCTAAACCAATACCATACAGTAAGCTAAAATGTATAACAGGCTCCAGTTTGACAAAATGTGAAACAATTCAACAGAGAAACACAAAGGCCTTATTTATGCTAAAAACAATGATGGAAATATGGAAGACAGCAAACAGTGACAACCACTGAATCACAGGCACATAAAGAATAAAACTTAGTTTATAGAAGAACCCATCTTTGATGAGAGAAGTTGAGATTTCAAATGTTTATAAGAAATTCTGAGAATGCTTAAACTGCATCTTATTCTTTTGAAAAGTAAAGAGCTGTACTATTATAGGTAGCTTGACCCTTTTGGGACAAGAATAACTAAAATTGATATTTTAGTGACCTTTGTATCCATGTAATGGATAAGAAGGGAAATGTTGTAGCTACCAATGGTACAAAGCATCTACATTCACGTAACAAAACCCAAAGCAAAGGAACAGGGCTTTATTGCTTTTTTCATCTTCATTTTGGTAAAATTCTGCATACAACTTTGGCTCATTACTATAACTGAAAATCAAAAAAATAATGCATTAATTTCTTTTATTTTTGTCGAGCCTGCAACTTTTGTCGCAGAAAGCTCGACATAGGGATAGTGATCCGGCGGCGGTGGTGTTAGCTAACTTCTTAAAAGATTTATATTTTAGAAGCTAGAAGACCTGGATGCTTCATACTTTGTATATAGATGCCTTATGTTACGAAATTTCCATCTGTCATATGTCCATTGTCCTTGACCTCATTTTCATGGTTCAGTGACTACTTGGAAAAAAAGTCAACATTTTTTGTAATGTTAATTTCTTTCTTATTATGAGTTATAGGATAACTATATTTAGTATGTGCTTACCTTGCAAGGTCCTCATGCCCGTCAGACAATTTTCATTTGACCTCGACCTCATTTCATGGATCAGTAAACAAGGTTAATTTTTTGTGGTCAAGTCCATATATCAGATACTATAAGCAGTAGGTCTACTATATTTGGTATATGGAATGATTGTAAGGTGTACATGTCCAACTGGTAGGTGTCATCTGACCTTGACCTCATTTTCATGGTTCAGTGGTCAAAGTTAAGTTTTTGAGTTTTGGTCTTTTTTTCTAATACTATATGCAATAGGTCAACTATAAATGGTGTATGGAAATATTTTATGATGTACATGTCAGTCTCACAAGTTTTATTTGAACTTGACCTCATTTTCACGGTTCATTTCTCAGTGTTAAGTTTTTGTGTTTTGGTCTGTTTTTCTTCAACTATATTTGATGTATGGAAGGATTGTAAGGTGTATATGTCTGTCTGGCAGGTATCATCTGACCTTGACCTCTTTTTCATGGTTCATTGGTCAATGTTAAGTTTTCATGGTTAAGTTTGTTTCTTAGATACTATAAGCAATAGGTCAACTATATTTAATGCCTAAATTGATTGTAAGGTGTACATGTCTGTCTGGCATGGTTCATCTGACCTTGACCTCATTTTCATGGTTCATTGGTCAATGTTAAGTTTTCTTGTTTAAGACTGTTTCTTAGAAACAATAAGCAATAGGTCAACTATGTTTGGTTTATTGAATGATTGTAAGGTGTACATGTATTTCTCGTTTGGTTTATCTGACCTTGACCTCATTTTCTTGGATCATGTTAAGTTTATGTGTTACTTGTAGTAAAGCTTTGTATTTAGGACTATCAACAAAAAATCAATGGTTAGTAAAGAAGGCAAGACATTTCAGCGTGTGCACTCTTGTTTGAATATTACTGATTGAATTCTTTCAATTGTTAAGAAAGCAAATTTGTCTTAAAATCATCAAATCTCCAATTTTAAATCCATAGATTTGTGATACATTTGTACTTAAATTTCGGTGTTTATGTGTGCTTTCTATACAAATGTTCGCCTATTTTGAAAAAATCAATCAGTTATATTTCAGAAAGTAAAAGAGATAAATCCTTATTTTTTTTTCAATTTTCAGTTATAAGCTTCTCTCTGTGATATGTCAACTGTCCTCACTTCATTTTCATGGTTCAGTGACCACCTAAAAAACTTTAATTTTAATGTCTACATGTATGTCAGACATGGTTCATCTGATCTTGACCTCATTTTATGGATCATCGGACATAAAGTTAATGATTAAGTTTTTTGTGGTCCAGTCTATCTCAGATACTATAGCAAAAGGTCAACTTTTTGATGTATAGAATGATTGTTATATGTGTACATGTCTGTCTTGCTGGTTTCATCTGACCTTAATAACATTGTCATGGTTCATGGGTCAATGTTAATTTTTCATGGTTTGTTTTTTTTGTCAAATATTACAAGAAATAGGTAACCTATATTTGGTTTATATAGAGTAATTGTAAGGTGTACATGTCGGTCTGGCAAGGTGCCTCTGATCTTGACCTCATTTTTTGTTGGTTGATTGGTCAATGTTGAAGTTTTTGTGGTCAAGTTAATTTCTCCGATACTATAAGCAATAGGATAACTATATTTGGTATATAAAATGATTGTATGATGAACATGTCTGTCTGGAAGGGGTTAATCTGATCTGGAACTCATTTTCATGGTTCATGTGTTAAAGTTCTTCTCAGATACTACAATCAATTGACTTAACTATATTTGGTGTATGGAATGAATGTTAGAACTTTGATGAACAGTTGTCATAGGCGGATCCAGCATTTTGTTGGAAAAATTTGGTTGATTATATAGGGAATCACTGAAGCATGACTGGAGCGGCCCTCCCCTTAGGTCAGTCAGTGGGCCCCCCCCTTATGAAAAGTTCTGGATCTGCCACTGGTTGTCTCATTGGCAATCGTACGGCATCTCCTTATTTTTATATAGTCTGTCTTGCAGGGTTCATCTGACTTTGAATTCATTTACATGGATCATTGATTATGTTAAGTTTATATGATTCTTGTATTAAACATTGATCTAATAGACTCCACATAAATTTAATCATGATAGTTGTCTCATTGGCAATCATATGGCATCTCCTTATCTTTATATTATAACAATTCTACTCTTGTAAAAACACCCTTGAGAGCACTTACAATTTGAGAAAAAAGAATTATACATTTTTATGTCAATGGGTACATATTATTTTATGTAAATTTAAGTATTAGTTTTCTTTTAAACTAGACTAATACTGTGTCTTGACTTGCATCTCTGCATGCAATTGATTGCGATGACATGTATACTGAAGAATTACTGATCATTCCCTTTCAAGAAAATTATGACGAAAATTTTCCTTGTGCAATGAGTTGTAAAATTTCCAAACTATCGACAAACAGGAAGTAGCTACATGGTAGATGTAAAAATTGCTTACTCCCTACAACTAAACATTATAAGACTGCAGACAGAATATTAAATCATTTCCTTTCATATACTTTCTGACAGAAATGAGCGGTTACTAGACCGTTTTTTTGCCTTTGGCAACAAAGGTATAAATACTTATTACAGGTTTCTGTTGTAACAAATTAAAATGACCCAAAATAACAGGAAGGTCAATTGAAGCTTTCCTACAAAACTCAATTTGAGGTTGCTAGGGGATCTGACAGAAACTTACATTCAACAGCATAATAGTAATTTGGGTACATTGGCTTATTTTCACTAAAGATGTTTTTCATCTGTCTACAACTGACCTGGAGTTGACAAAGGAATATCTAAGATTTGCTTACATGGTGCCATGAGGTATGTGAGCCTACTCACTATGGGTTCTGTCATTTGACAAGACAAATTGTTATTCAAATTTATTTAATGATAAATGCTGTAATAAGTGTACACCATGACCAAGTATGTGTGGTCATTCTTGAAATAGTTACATCTTGATGTTATATGTGACATTTACCAAGATGATTACCGGTATGTTTATTCAAATCCAATTACTAGAGAAAAACGTACTTCTGTGGATTCATTTATTTTCATGGGTACCAATTTTTCGTGGCTGGAGAAAAAATTTGATTTTGCAGTTTTGCCTAAGTTTGCATTTTAGCCTACAGAAAATTTTTACTTCATTGAACATTTAAATTTGTGGTTCACTCATACCAACGGAATCAACTTAAATTGGTATCCCACAAATAATAATGAATTCACAGTACTGTGGATTCATTATTTTTCGTTGGATACCAATTTTCGTGGATTTCGTGGGTACAGGTGAACCACGAATTAAAATGTTCAACGAATTACAGATTTTCCATAAGGTTGTATGCAGACTTGGGCAAAACCACAAAATCAAATGTCCACGAAAATACAAGTTTTCATCAATCCACGAAAATTGGTACCCACGAAAATAAATGAATCTACAGTATTACAAGTGTGGAATTCCTGTTATAAAAGCTATTATTGATCAGTACTAACTAACACAATATATCATTTGTATCTATTCAACAAAAGTTATTGTGACGACAGTTTTTTCCAATCACATAATCAATAAAAGTACAGAATTCTTAGATTTACATCAAACTTATCTTTTATAATATTACAATAAACAACTACTATAATTACTTTTGTTTGCATTTTGCAATTTACAAAATTGTATGAAATGTAACTGAAAAAAATAATGAATATGAGCTTTTAATGGAAAAAATACACAATTTACAGAATCTTAAAATGCCAGTTACTGCAAATATTCATTTTCACACACATTCAGACATGCAGATAAAAGTAAAATTATGATCATGTATACATGTCCTTCCTACTTTGCGGGAATTTGAAGTGTTTATTTGATGAACGGTACAATTATCTGTGCACTTTTTTGAGAAAAATCAACACTGAAAATGCAATTATAGAAGATTTAATATAATGGCATGAGTATATTAAAAAAGTCAGGACTCAAATCTCCTAAATTAGATAATATAATGCAGATGCATTTATAACCTAAAGTCAATGGTTTACCATAAATCACTATTTTTAAATTGGTGACTTAAGTTTGCTGTTTCATTTACATATGTGCAACATCTCGTTTTATTCATTTGTTTTAAACTAAACTCTGAACAATTCAGTGTCTTCAAGAAACTATAATTGACATGAAAAATATCATTAATGTCTTAAATAGCAAAACAATAACAGTCAACAAAATCATAATTTTACAACTGTAACAGCTCTTCTTTTTGTATATACTGCTTCTAAAATCCATCTGCTCTGTGCCACCTCATATCGTTCCTATCAACATACTCCAAATTTTTAAATCAGAAACTGTTAAAACATGTATACAACAATGTCTGAGCTGAATCAAAATCAGCATATACCGAATACTTAAATTTATATCAGTTATTCTCAATACAGGACTATAAATGTTAAGTCTTTTTTCCACGTTTAGCTTTCTGAGCAACTTTCTTAACAGCTTTGGCTTTTTGATTTGTTTTTGTCATATTTATATCAGAAATTTCAGCTGAATCGCTCGTAGCCTCTACTTTATTTTCAGAGCTACCATTGACAGTCTCATTTTCTGTTGTTGGAGTGCTGTCCAGAGGATTTTCTGATGTATCTTCTTCCATCTTCTCTTCAGTAGTTTCCTCCTCATTCTTACCATTAACCGGATCATCTGAAGAAACATTTTCTTTCTCCTCACTTTTTCCATTCACCGGATCAGAAGATACATTTTCTTCCTTAACTTTGGTTTCTTCTTTTTTCTTTTCCTCAGTGGGACTAGCATCTTCTGTTTGTTTTTCTTCCTCTTCTTCTTTAGCCAAAGCTTTAGTAATGAGTTTGTCCTGCAAATATTCAATATATATGAAGAATAGGAGATATGGGTTATATGCCAATGAGAAACAACCCAATGAAACAAAATATCTATTTATATTACGGATTACAAATGTGTCGAGTTTTGTAATTTGACAACAACACAGAGATGTCAGTATATATTTAGGAAACTGCTGGTGTATATACGACATTTTTTACTCCAATTGGAACCTCAACAACGTCATCATAACGAACGTTACTATGTGACGTAGTCTTAGGCTATACAGAACACATAAAGAATGTCAGAGGATCACAAAGGGAAAATAATGACGTGTATCCGTCAATAATAATTAAAACAATTTTTTTTTTTTAAATTCACACATCAAATACTTAATTAATGTCTTATAGTGTTATTACAAATCATTTCATGCACGATAGAATTATTTTCACAGCAAATTACAAATCCTTCACGTATGCAGAAAATATATATACTGCATGGTGAATTCATGTTTAATAAATAACTGGAAAAAACATTAAGGCAAGGGTAATTCATAATATATGTGTAATTCAGGTCTCAGACAGGGTATATAATGTGACATTCCTGGCTTAGGGTTTATATCCCCTTCGCCTTCAGCTCAGGGAATATAAACTCCTATCCTGGAATGTCCCATTATATACTGTCTGAGACCTGATTAACAAAATATTGAGAAGTTTCTGATTCTAATACTGGTAAGTTCGAAAATTTTTGTGTTATTTGTATGCAGCATCTATGAAATCGTAATAATTAATCTCACATTTTTATCCATTGTTTAAGAAACGCAATAATATATGCACACATATATTTCGGAATAATCACTGCAAGAGAGAGAGACAGAGAAAGGAAATGGCTGTGGATATTTCCTTGTTAATAATATCTGAACAAAATGTGTAAGTAAGATAACAGTTTAGCCATGATATAGTGTAAGATGAAGCATCATTTCGATATCAGCACATTAGTACTTACAGCTTGTTTTCAGAACTGGGAGTATTGTTAAGTGTGGTATTTACCCCCAGTTAGTTTCTTCTTTTTTTGCCTTCAGAAAAATCCATATTATTGAGTTTATTGTCTTGTCTGATATTTTCTGATTTTTATGCCCCTGCTGCACCGGAGGGGATATTAAGTGTTACCCTTGTCTATCTGTACGTCCCTCTGTCCCTACGTATGTCCCAAAATTAGTTTCTGTCCTCTAACTTTATTTTGCCTCTTCCAAATGTTATGAAACTTACACACAATGCTTATTACCATAAATCTCCGATCAAGTTAGAATTTGGTTGGTGTCACTTTTCAATTCTCTAGTTATGTCCCTTTTAACGTAATATGCAAGCCAGGGCATCATCTGTCTCCCATGGACACATTCCCCATTTATTTTTATCGATACCTTTGATATTCCACTGATTGAGGTATAAGTTGGAGCACTAAGCAGAAAACTAGTATTAACCCCTCCACATGCCTATCCCAAGCTGGAACCTTGTCAGTGGTTGTAATTGTTTATGCTTAAGTGTTTTTGTCTGTTATGGAGTTTGTTGTAGATTGAAAATCTTGGCAGTATCTGTATAATTCATCCATAACTTGTCACGACTCTATACTATAGATTTTATGAACATATGGTGTGGAGACTTTTCTATCATTGAAAACTATGTCCGTATCTAGACATCTTTTGGGGATGTAATGTTGTAAGGTCATTTCTTTGATGTATACCCCATATTTTATTTTTTTTCCTATTTACTGTTAAAATACCCTCAACAAGTACTTACCATCATGACAGCATTGAATTTATCATAGTGTTGTTTACTCTGACAATGATTGGTCTTAGCAGAAGTTTCTGTTGTATAAAACTTGTGACATAATTTACAGAAATATCCTGATACTGGGACCACATATTTCTGGCCTGTAAAACATAGAATCTCTAATTAATACATATATATGTACCAATATTGTCTTTTCAAATTGGCCAATTAAGCATACATGCTACTGTTTTAAAATACTATGTAGTTAATAAGTTAATGTGATCTCATTGCTGAAAGTGGTATGTAAATATGTTTTCACTATCCAGACAATCCATTCTTTTCAGTTTTACCATTTTTACACTAAAACTGCGCAAGATTAACACAGAAATAAGTTACACTAGAGCTGTGCTTAAAGCTAGAATAATACCCCCTGTACATGCATTTTAGTTGCTGATGTGAAAATCAGTAATGAGATAATGACATTTTGTGATTTTTGGCTTTCAGCATAGGAGTCAAGGGTTAAGGTCAGAGCGACCTAATTTTGATATTTGACACATCCTTATCCCATGATGTTTCTACAAACAAAGTTTTGTTAACTTCAGTGGTACGGTACAAAAGTTATGCACCAAACACAAAACATAATGTTTTCCTATCATGGGGGTCAAAATCAAGGCCAGAGTGTATAAAAATGTTAAAACGTTTGTTTTTGAACCTTTACTTCTTTAAAATAATGTTAATAGTAAATACATAGGTAACTAGACATCATTGAGATGGGAGCCATCACTGTGAGCCTTGCTGTTAATAACGTGTGGTAAAAAATTTGCATCTTTACCATAGGACATGGGGTTGTCATCTGAAACCAAAGTTTTTGACCTTGACCTTTGACCAAGGAAGTTGTAAATACATTATGACACACCCTCCAGTGTCGGTTAATATACATGTCAAGTATAAACTCTGAAATCATAAAGGTTCTCAAGATATTGTGGACACGATATCTCTACCATAGGACATGGGGTTGTCAACTGAAACCAAAGTTTTTGACCTTGACCATTGACCTAGGAAGTTGCACATACATTATGACACACCCTCTGGTGTTGGTTAATATACATGTCAAGTATAAAGTATGAAATCATAACGGTTCTCTAGATATAGAGCGGACACAATTTGTTACGGACGGACAGACTGATCACTATAGGGCGACCCGCCATTCGGCGGGGCCTTATAAATGGGATATGAAAACATTTATTTCTTTTTTTTTCACATTTCTTACCAACAGCTTTTGTAGGATCATAATCTGGAATAACATAATCATCAGCATCTTCTGGAAGAGGCTCTTTTTTCCCTCCTCCCTTCTGTTCTCCATTCTTTGTTTCTTTACCATGCTGACTATTATCTTCAGTCTCCTGTAATGGAATGTTGACATTTAAATTACTTTCAATGTTGAGAATTTAACTATTACTTTGTTTCTGATTTACATAACTGACCAAATATGCAAGAAGAATACATCGCTATAACTTAGAAAAACAATTAAATATTTCTTAGAGTATGTTTTCTATTGAACTTCAAGCAAACATTTTATTGAACGAACTTTTTTCATCAGATATAAATGCATCAAAATTATGGGAAACAAAAATATGTACATTTGTCTTGTTTTAATGCATGTTATCAAGTTTTGACAACTTATGCATCTCTAAAATCTGTAGCAGCATTGTCAAAAATATATGGCTGTGTACATGTATGCACATGAACAAGAGTGCACATGCTATAATTTAACCCCTGCATGACTGCAACAATATATATACCATAGTTGTATCATCATGTTCTTCAAAACCGATTTCATCTACTGTAACCATGTCACCCAGGTCACCAGGGAAACTAGCATTAGAGGATTCATCAATATCTCTATCTCTACGACGACGTCTTTCTCTATCACTCTTCAAAATTATATAAAATATTTATAAACTTCCGTACTTTATTTTTTAATCTGAACTGACTATTTTTTATGTTATTATTCTTGTAATGACAGAAAATCTATAAAAAGTAAATATAGAATGTATGTTTGAGCAGACATTAAAAATAAGATTGTTTCCCCATTTCTACCTAATCTTTCATAAAAAGGTAGGTCGGGAGGTATATATATTTTTGTATAAAAATCATTACAGAAATCAGCAACTGAAAAATGCAAAAAATCTTTCAAGAAAAGGAAATACATATTTTTTGTCCAGGTCAAATTTTCACATTAAATTTTGATTTTGGACTTACTTGTAAAACAATCAATGTTTTCTAATTGTAGCACAATTATAGAACAAAGCCTTTGTTATATTGCATAACCACAAATCTCAACAGCAAACATAGTAATGTTTTGATACTTACTTTTTAACAAGAAAGAGTTTTACGTAATCTCTTATAGTTTCAGATTATCAATGGTTTGAACTCTAACAAAAATGTGAGAACAACTGTGAAAATGACATAAAGTTTGAATGAAAGAAATATTGAAACAGCTTCAGTGCCAGAAAGTCTAGCACAAAACTAATAAAACTAGCTTTAATGTTAACTACACCATTCCAAATCAAACAGAAAGTACATAATAGTGTGATTAAGTACACAATTGTAAAAGAAATACATTAGGTGTGATCCTTCTATCTAAATGGTCTCAATCAATTTCTTTATTAATCAATATTGTTAGTACTAAAAAATTAAACTGTAGTACAATGATATCTGCAGAAAGATAAAGATAACAAAGCAGCCATTTCATAATGACTGCAAAAAATGAGATTGTGAAAAAAAGCAAATTGTCATGATTGTTTTTTTCTAACTTTTTTTCTTATTTGTTGTAAGAAAGATCACACACCTGTTAATAACACATGCTAACAAGAATATAAACAAAGAGGAACACAGAAAAGTTAGTACCTGAGTCTGTGAAGAATGGAAAGAGTTCCGCCCTAGAGGAGGCTGATGAGGTGTTTGAAATCTTCCTCTGCCATAAAACTTTATAGAAAAAGAGATAGTGAGTGAGTCATAGAAGTTAACAGTTTCTTAGAGAGAACATTGTTGAAGAAATGTTTCCAAGAGTTGAGTTTATTTAAGAACTTTTGTTTGGTATTGATGCTCCTTAATCTTTAAGTAAGCTTTCTACAGACTTTTTACATAATAACATATTCAAAGTCAACATGATGATTCTTTACTACAAACAACTCTTACTTGCCATTATCTTATACTCAAACATAATACTGATAAAGATACATTTAATGAAATCTATCAAAAGTGATTAAATATACTAAGAAAATAACCAAAATACATTTGTTCATCTTCCGATAACATTACATTGAAGTACTGTAAACCAAATTATTTTTACGGATACTTTTTTTTCACCATAAACCATTTCCAGCCAATTTTGATCAATTCATATTCCAGATTTTCTTTTCTTGTCAGTTTATTCAAATAAGACAAGATCAAAGTATGATATATTTGGTTTTTTTTCTACTCATGAAAGTTGCAAAAACAAATTGCTCACCAATATCACTTGGATTTCATTATACAGTTAAGTAAGGGCTGACTACAATCTTTGAAGTATTGTAAAGAACTTTAAGGAAGATTTTAAAAACAGATTTTCAAGCAGAACAGTAACTTCAAATTGAATTTGAAAGACAGATTTTGAAAGAAGTTTCTTGAAACATTGAGTAAGAGTTTATTAAATAGAAAGTATGAAACATTTTCGATTCAATGATTAAATTATAGTACATTTATAAGATTAACCAAAAGAAACTTCAGGAAAGTTGTCCCCTTTTAAGAAGGGGATTCAATTTATAAATGGTTTCAAATAGTTTCCAAATTCACAATCATTTGTTCATCCGAGTTAAAGTATCAGTGAACACAAAAGAACTGATGTTTCCTTCAAGCAGACTCCGTAACTAAATGACATATTTGATTAAGTAAATCAAAAGTAATTGATTGGTGAAAAGAAGAAGCAGATTGAAAGAATTCAGGTTTGCTTTATATACCCAAAAGAAAATCTGTCATTTTTTTGCTTTTTCAAAATACAGTTTTCTAATTATACTTTATAAATGTTTTGTAAGCAAGTGATTTTCAGCCATTATTTTAACACTTATTAATTTTAGGCATGTTGTACAATCATAATTTTCACTTTGTTCTTTGAGTATGTGGAAGGGAATTGAAACATAGACATTCCTTAAGCTAATGCATACCCTTCTGTCAGAAGATCCTCTTCTTGGTGAAATGTCATCTCTCCTTTTTCTGTCTTCACTTCTAATAAATGAAAACAATAAGTTATGATGAATGTAAAAATAAACCGAGAATATGTCCATGGGACACAAATGATGCCCCTGCTTGTAATTTTAATGTTATTGAAATTATTGAACCAATGCATGCATGTGATATATACTAAACTAAGTCATGTGTCTCCCTTTTTTTACATTTATTAAGAATCTTTAGCGTATTATCAACAAATAATTTTTCATTCAGTGATTGTTGATTGCAAGCTAATTAACTTTCGAGTTTCTTGCCGAAGTTTACCAGATCGTGAAACTGATAAACAATCAACACAGCAAGTGATCAATAAGTGAATTGATAGAGCCAAGATTTTTATTTTATACTTTCCATGCATTCCCTATTGTTTATTAAACTTTTCCTTTGTGAATTAGAGTACAGGGGGACAATAATTTAATAGCAGTACATTTATGAAGATTTTGATAATATAAAGGATTTTCTTTACAAGAAAGTTCACGTACACTTGTTTTATAGTAAAACTTAGCCATTCGAGTATATATAACATATTCAACTTTTTTTTTAAATTTGAAGTTTCATATGACTCTAACCTAGGTTGTAGGTTATATACTTCTTTACTAAAATACATAAACATGTCGATGTCTTTCCAGGAATTCTGTGTTTTATTTCTTTGGTACAGTACATACATATTCTGATTATTACCTTGGTTTCTTTTCAACTGAACGTAGATGTTCCTGTGCTTTCAATCTTGATGCTTGTTGTTCAGATGCCTGATTATGGGCACTTCCAAGACTTTCCATTCTGTTCAAATGCTTTTTACCTTTCATGTGTCTGGTAAATCCCTATAATATGATATAAGAAAGATTGTCAAATTTGTTTTTTGTAAATTGTTTTGTTATAAATCAGGCCATTTGTTCACATTGTTTCACATTTTTCATGTCAGGGTCTTTTATAGCCGACTGTACTTTATGGGTGTTTCTCATTGTTGAAGGCTGTATGGTGGCCTGTAATTATCATTTTAATTGCTTACTAATACTTCATTTTAACTTTTGCCTTGAAAAATGTGACGAACTTTTCATAACTTAATGTATTTTTGCACTTGTGATAAAAAAACATGAAACTTTTCTAACAAAGAAATCAATTCAAGCTTTCCTTATTTCTAGTCTGCTGGTGTTGGAAAAAACAAGAATATTTCTTTAAGATATTTTAACAAGAAATGAAAATGAGAACATTAGGTCAAGATTAATTTACAAATAAATACTTGGTTTGGTGGCAAATATTACAGACATACGCAGGAGCAGAATGTTTAACTATTGAGGACATGCCAAGTGTTTATTCACAAAATACTTACTAAGACTCTAGGACAACCTTATTAATTTCTTACTATTTTTAATATATGCTGATCACAGGAGGAGGTAATACCAATTCCACAGAACCGATAATAGGGAAACTAACCCACAACCACCCAGATTTAAAGGGAACTAACCCACAACCACCAAAACTTAAAGGGAGCATACTACTTGCTGGTAACAAGTTGGTTCATTGGTGTAAAGAAAGATTACCATTGATTTCTTTAGAAATACACAAAACTGCTGACTATGCTTTCAGGCAAAGCCTAGTTCATATAAAATGTTTCAAGCACCATCCTCAATAATGATATAATTAACAAATGATACTTACTTCAAAATCCTGGCATTCTACCATACAAGCATGGCAATAAAAATTCTTCTTGTCTGAGGAACTTTCTTCTTTGGCTTCTTTCTTAATCTATAAAATAAAATAAATGAGGAATGTGTCCATGGGACACAGATGATGCCCCCGCTTGCATATCATATTAAGTTATAAAGGGACATAACTGAAGAACAGTAAAAGTGACACTACCAAAATCTGTACTTGATCTGAGTTTTGTAGTAATAAGTATTGTGTATAAGTTTCATAAAATTTGGTTGAGGCAAACTCAAGTTAGAGAATGGAAAGGAAAAATTCAGCAATTTTTCCATTTGTAAATGGCTTAACTCTAGAATAGTTTAAGTGATGTCACCAAAATTCAAACTTGATCTGTGTTTTGTGGTAATAAGCATTGTGTATAAGTTTTATAACATTTGGTTGAGGCAAACTAAAGTTAGAGAACGGAAACCAACTATGGGACGTACAGACAGACAAGGGTAAAACTTAATGCCCCCTCCGCTTCGGCAGGGGCATAAAATAAATGAAATTCAAATGGTACATAATAAAACTTTAAATCAATAAACAAAGTCTAATTTTAAATAGATATTGTCATTTTTCCAAAGAATCGTAAGATCAAAATATATACATGCTGTTTTGAAACATTTAATATGAGATACTACAATTTCTTAAACATTTTAAAGTTCATTACTGTAAAACATGATACATCATATGAAACAAGAATCAGGCTGTTAGTTTTCTCTTCTGAATCGTTTTACATTTGTGTTTTCAGAGCCTTTTATAGATTACTATGTGGTATGGATTCAGCTAATTGTTGAAGGCCATACAGCTGACCTATAGCTGTTAGCTTCTACAACATTTGGTCTCTGGTAGAGAGTTGTGTCATTGACAATCATACCACATCTTCTTTTTTTTTAAGAAACTGCTTTTTGTATTCTATGAGAGGTTACAAAGTTATCAGGTTCATACTAATGGCAGAATCTCACACCATTAGGGTCAAACTAATTAATATCAATTACCAAAGCAGAATCATCTACACTCCTCCCCTTACTATTCACAGTCACAGTCATTGTTTTGTCTGGTAAATCCATGTCTTTGTTTGGTGTGCTTGGTTTTGTCTCTCCCGACGTCTCTGTATCAGCCTTAGTTGCCAGGTCTACCATTTCAACATCCCTATCTTTCTTCTCAATCTAAAGTGAAAAAAAAAAAAAACCAAAAATTAGCTACTTTATAAAGTTTGACTTGTTCACTCCATGTCCAAATATAGTCCCAATTAGTAGTTGAAACTGTTACTGAAACAATTTTTTTATATGATTTTAGGTCAAATAGAACTGTACCACAAACATATATAATAATGTGAAATTTTTCACCAATTGCTTCCATTCCCCCTCACTAAAACTCATATGATGTTGTTGTCACACATTGAAATTTCAAATATAAATACTTAATATTGTGTATACTTTTTCAAACAATGAAGTTGAAATACCTTTCATTGGTTTCATTATGTTTTATATATTATTTTTCTCCAATTCAATTCTCCCCGTCTTTTTCTCTAGGACTTACTCTTGGCAAAGGTGAGGAAAAATGAACTGAATGAACGTTTTACATGTTTTAAGTAAGATCTATCTTGGATATTCCTGATTCTGGTATTTCGATTATTGTATCTATCAAGTTTCAATCAACAAAGGTTCTTGTTGTTTAAATAAACCAGTGTATCAGGGTAATCCATATGCAACTTTCATTTCTAATGATAGTAAAACTTTTTATAGTGAATAAACTTACCCATGCAAGTTCTGTTGTTGCATTTTCTTCATCTTCTGTAGGTTCTGCTGGATCATACTGTTCTTTCTTTACTTCTTTCTTGTCACTGGATTTATCATGTGACTTATCAGCTGACTTATCACGTGACTTGTCAGCTGACCTGTCATGTGACTGTGATTTTCTGTCTACATTAGAAGTCTTGCCTTTGTCACGAGACCTTCTATCCGAGTTGTGGGATTTTCTATCAGATTCCCTTGATCTTGAAGAATCTACATAAAATTTCACAAGTTCATAACTGATTATTTAGGTTAACTGTTCAAATTTAAGAAAAAAACTAAAATTAATTATATTACCTACCTAGGTACTGTACCTGCAAGACAGAAAATCAGAAAAAGACAAAAAAACCTGATCATACAGGTCATAAGATTTTTCTGATGGTATCAATATAATAGCAGGAAGATCTGGTTCGCCTCCGACTAAATTGCTTGTTAAGATTAAAGATGTGGACTTTTTACAAAATCAACCAGATACATCAATATTATATGTAGGGAATTGGAATAACTGACAAGTGTAACAGTATGAAGATAACAATGTGTTACAGGAACATACACTGTATTTATAGCATTCTCTTAAATCTCTGGAACAGGAAATGTGGCGTTATCTTGAGATAAAAGACCAAGAAAACAGTAACATAAATACATCATTGTCCATCAGAACGGCTCAATATCAGATCAGCTAACAAAGTACAACCTGCAGATTTTTTTATAAACTAGAAAGATGCCAGGGAGACAGTAACTTTTGCTCTTCTTTTGTGTCATCGTCAGCTGCACTGCCACCATCAAATTATTTCAGACTATTTGAATCAGTAAATCACCTAAACAGCATACGAAATTTAAGAATCAAAATTTTAGATTCTAGGTTCAATTTTGTCAAGAAAAGATTTAGTGCAAAATGATGATACATGTTAATCCCATCATTTTCTCACCTCCCAAAAAGCAACTAAAAAAGAATGCTTTAATGTACACATTCTTTCTTAAATGCTTTCTTCTTGTGCTTAAATGAGTAGTAGTTATTTATAATAGAAGAGCAAAGTTTTAAAAAAGTACACATTATAGCAAGCTAGGAAAACAATACCAAAAACCATCCTGACAGAAGTGACAACATTCAATATTATGTGCAAGTAGAAAAAGTTAAAAAAAAAAAATCAATCTGTAACGGTCTCATGGGACACACAAAAACTATTCCTCCCTCATGTCCTCAGCAGTAATATTCTTTATCCTTATTTGGTCTTCATAAAAATCCATCTGTCCATATATCTAAGCTCAATGAAAGAATTTGCTTTGGAAAGACCAACAACTGTTGGGCTGGTTTTTGGTCAGCCCATTCTTGTTAATATTATATGTAACAAAGGCATTGATGTTTGTGTTACATTATAAAAGGAAAAAAGATCATTCTTTGTTATATTAAACAAACATTCATAGTTTCATGAAAAACTGTATACATTTTAGCAATGATCCGAAAGAATCCACAGATTAAGACCACCTATTATACATACAATTTTAATGCATACAAGATCAGCCATCATCAATTCTACAATAATGCCATAAACTAAAACCTTTTCAGTGGACAGGATTAGATAATGTCAGAATTTACATATACTGGTGTTTTACATTCAGTGAGGAATTGGTTATACAGTCAAACCTGTTTATATAAGTCATCCTCAGGACCAGAGAAAACTAGCCTTATCAGAGAGGTGTACTTTTAATTGAGCTTCAAAATGCATAGATATTACCTGCGCTAGACAAGAGGAGGATGACCTGACAAGGCAGGATTTCACTTCATAGAGGTGCCCTTTATAGCAGGTTTGACTGTACTTCATGCACATCATGTGTAAAATGACATGTTTGGATTTATCTTCTTACAAAAAGACACCAAAAAAAATTGTTTACAGAAATTCCAATAGCTGTTTTTGGTCATTCTAGATTTTGTCTCTGAAATAAATCTGTTCTAGAACATTCTCATACATGTATCAATCTAATGTTAAGAACAAGTACTTCAAAGTTGGTGATGATTATAGGGATAGATGGATTTACTCAAGCATAGAATGGCTATGGTATTCACAAATAAAAGAAAATTGGAAAATCAAAGTAAATTTGTCAGTATGCTGAAGTTTAAAGTCTCAGTGGTCGTAAATGACTGCCAGTGTGAAAGTTAAAATCAAATGGTCAATGATGTGTCTTCTTCCACTTGTGACAACCCTTACAAAATCTGACATGTTTATATGAATAATGTTGTATGTATACATGTCCAAGAAGTATTAGCAACACTCTGCTCTTCACTATTGACCTCAATTTTGGTTGAACTTTCACCTCCAAAAACTGGTAAGTGTCAAGTAAAAAAAAAATGATTTGTAAAATACCAGATAGTGCCAAATAAATAAAGCAAAGAACACCAGGCAAAAACAATGAGTAATAATTTCTGGCATTATGTATATACTGCAATTTCTAATTCTTCAAGATGACAATTGTAGAAAAAATGTAAAGATGTTAAATTTATTTATCACTAAAAAGTGTATTTGTATTCAGTGTATGAGCAGTCATAAGGTCCAGGGTATGATCAGAATATCATTCAATAATGTAACTATGTAAAAGACAGAGCAGAAGACAGACAAGATTCAGATGGCCTGCAATGAGTTACCTCCCTTGAAAGGAAGTTACCTGAGTCACGAGGATTCCTTCGATCATTAGTAGATGTACGATCTGGCCTGTTATTCCTGCGATCAGTACCTCTGGATCGACCTCGGCCTTCTGAGCCTCGGTCATTTCTGTTGCCCTGCCGACGAAAATCTTGTGGTGAAGGCTGAAATTTGTAAAGGGGCTAAAGATATAAGATACAAAAATCAATTCAATATAATATGTACATGTGTAAGACACACCATAAATAAATGAATAATGAGAAGAGCAGTAAAGACTGCATGGTTATAGATATGATTGTTTAAAGGTGTACCCTTATATGGAGGGAAGTGATGAATTATTATGACTGACAAAAAATGCAATCAAAGATGTACATTATAACATTACAGATGTGCACTATAGTATATATTATAACTGATAATTATAAGTTTAACTCTGTAATCTAAAACAATTACTGCATCAAATTACTATCAGAAAAAACACACCTGAAACTGATATCAATATATACATAAGTATTCAAACTGTACAAAAATGAATAGCTTCACAGGACAAATCAAGACTAAGACAACCAACCAAGCCAACCTTTAAAACACAAAGACCGTCTTACAGTCAATCTTAAAGACATGTGACCATCCAAACAGAAGACAACACTGAAAACTCAAGATTAATCTGCACATACCAAGAACGATTAGATGTTCTGGAAGGATACAATCTTCCACCGAAAACCAAGGATTTTGGTTGTTCTATAAGCTTAAGGGAACAAACTTTCATTAAAATAAACTGTTGACACAGAGATCTGTGTGAATGATGGTACAGTGCCAAATGATCTCCATGGAAATGAGATATGCCAATGCATACCAAATATCATCGACTTACCATTAGTGGTTCATCTTAAACTAACCTTATCATAAACTCTTGCATGTAAACTAAAAAAAATTTTAAAAACAATAGACATGACTGATGGGAAGTGGCCAAATAATCTCCATTAAAAAATGAGATACATGTGCCAATGCTAATGCAACTGCATAACAATATCATTGATTTTCCAGAAGTGATTCTCCTTCAACTGACCTATTCACAAACTTTAACAAATTATTGACTGTGATAACAGAAACAGCAAACCTAAGTCTTGCTTAAAGCATGTGAAAGACAAGTTCAGTTACTTAGTTAACTGCCATAAAAACCAGTAGTGACTTTAGGTGTTTTGGGAGGAAACAACCTTCTATAAACACATGTGCTTTGAAAAGGTTCAAAATTCCACAGAAACCAGTTGTTCTGAGAGGATAAAAACTTTCATAACAACCAGGAATAGTATTCTAAAAAAGTGTTCTGGAAAGGGAGGAATATACTGTTCTAAAATCAGAAATAGGTACATGAATTTTTAAAGTTTACAGGAGTCATGTGTTTTTTTGTTGTTATATTCAATAGTATTATGCACTATCTCAGCCATTGTGCAGTACCTAAACATGTACATTAGTCAATTTAATATGTCAAAATGATCAAAATGTACCAAACCAATAATAGTTAAAACATTGTTGGGGGTTTCACTGTTATGATATCTGTCATTATATGTGCTGTGTTTAAATGATGACAAAGTTCTCCCATATGAAAACACTGTGCAAAGTGAAGATTTCACCAGCATTTACATATAAAGACAAAAAGATTGAACAAACTTGACTTGTCTGCTACTGATTATTTGAAACAAGACTTGTGACTTATAGGGTGACTTCAGAGTGTTCGTCAGAATGAGGTTTGAATTAAGAAGGATTATTTTCTTTAGCAAAAGCACCAATGTAGTGATAACAGAACTCAACTTTGGCCTTTAAATTCAATAGACATACATTCCACTTGTTATAATTTGAACAAAATCTATGGTTTAAATATGAAATTTTGTACATGTAAATATAGTCATGAAGATTTTGCAAAATGCTGATTTTCTTTTTGAACTTTGAGCTTAAAAACTGTAAGATAAGTAAAACAAAGTTTCTTAACCCTGATGTACAAAATACATGAGATATTGACATTCTAAACTAAAAAAAATAAAGAAGTCTGTCTTTCTCTATTCACTGTCAGACTGACTGTGATGATATACAGAAATATTAGTTTGATAATATATGTCAAAGCTAATCTGTCCTGTATTTTGTTGACACAACTTTGAAAGGCTACCATATCCATGATCTTCAAGGACTTATCTGTTAACTTCTGGCATTGGAATATATGATGCAGGTTAATTTATACTATGAAAGCAAAAATGGATGCTGAAGTAGAGTACATAATTCAACATCTGTTTTTACACATGATACAGGAATACTACAATGTTCTTACAATGGAAGATGTCCTGCAAGTCTTTGTCAACGTTACATGTAGCAAAAACAAAATATCATACAAAAGTATAGTTTAAGCAACAGACAGTGAAATATTCAAACATATAACTGATGATCATGTAAAAAAAGCATGTACATTTATTAGGTCCAATACATTTATCTGTCCATACTCCAACAAAACAAGTTTTAATCAACTGGGCAACAAGGTTTTAGCAGCAGTTTCTTTTTGTCCAAGATATATAATTCCTTTTAGCTGTAATTACTTAATATAAGACCCTTGAAATTGTAGATCTATATTCTACCCTTATTTCAAGCCTTCCTAATATCAGCAATCACTGTCCTGAATTGGTTGAACTAAAGGAAAAACAAAGTACTAACTATGGTGATGTCTGCCCATCTGTTATAATGCAATATAAACTGTAGTAATTTTGCCATGTAGACTTGTACAGAAGATAATAATTACAGATTGACCTGGATTCAAATTTCCTTTTGCCTTTCAAAACATCATGATCCATCTATGTACCGGTACATGTACATTTCTACCATGCCTTATTATTAAAGTTGATATACACTTTGCAGCAATCTAGAGACAATTGTAAGTCAAATGAGTTTTTTGTATCTCACCTCTTGAGAAGATAGCAGAGACACTGGCCTATTGAGAGGTTATTTATAAGTTATGGGCCATCAAAACAATTAAGAGAAAAACATAATTAGGAAGGTATTTAAATTCATATTTATCTATGATGTTAATGGGGTCATTATAACTGTGTAATTTTGCTTGATCAGCCATGAAAGGTATATTTCCGTATCAAAAGACATGCAAGAACACATATGTGATGAAGAAATAAATTAAAGTTGAAACAAATTTTGCGAGCAGAACAAAAAAACTTCACTGAATGTCATATACAACTTTGGTTTTGTCATAATAAAAGACAATGCAACCATTGTCTATCAAAAAAAAAGTATCTATTGAAACCCAAGAATGTTTGTATTGGACTCATTTTTTTACAAACAGCCTTCATGTGATAGGTAGGTTATCAGTGCTGTGAATTTTGTACATGTATTACAATAACTGAAGAAAAACAAATGTTGGGTTCACCTCAATAAGACGTAACAGTCACCAAAACAACACGTCCAAAAAGTGCCCTAATCATATAAAGACTAATGACATAATTTTTTAAATTGAGAAATTCATAGACCAGAAAAATACCAATTCACCGGTAAGCCATATCATGTATATGTATATGTGTGAAAGAGTATACATGTAGTAGTAAAAATGATAAATAAGGCATTTTGTATAACCTCTTTTGATAATATGGTGCTCCAACATGAGCAACACATGAAAGTCTTTCTGAATCTGTTATGCTGAAAAAAAGGCATGCAAGACTGATCATCATGTAAAAATTATCAAATACAGACATATTCCAAACACTTGACTACTGTAAATTCAGAAATTATTGTGAGGTTTTTATTAATGCGAATAATGCGACTTGGTGAGTATCGTAATAATAATAAATTGCTTCGCCCAATTTACTTCTGGATACTATCTTATGATCATAAACAAGCTTCTGTCCAACTTTGGTAGAAATCCAGGATAATTGAAGAAAGTTATTAAAATTTCAATAACTTTAACCACAGGGTGAATATTTGTGGACGCCGACGACGACAACGACGGAATGTAGGATGGCTATGTCTCGCTTTTGCGTCAAAAGTCGAATTCTTATATATAATACATATATCTGTATGCAGGTTTTAATGAAATCGCAATAATTAAACTCGCATTATTGTCCATTTTTCAAAAATCGCAATAATAAATGCAAGCAATAATTTCTGAATTTATAGGACCAATAATTGGACTAATCCTAAAGACACAACCTGCAACCATAGTAATTTACACTACATAATGTATCAACATGATTCTTTTAATGTTCTGAAGTTAATAAATATGTACTAGACATGTATTTGCTAAAGTTTTTTTCTAAATGCTGAAGTTTTTTCTTATAGGTGGCTTTATTTAGAATTTGTCTATAATCATAAACTTTTTTCAGGGAACACACAGTAAAATAATAAGTTGTTTCCTTCATCTAAATGGCAGTCGAAAAATAACAAGTACATTGTTCTTCTCGCATTTCTAGGCTATTAAGTGGAATAGAAATCCTACAAACAATTCTCTTCATTTGTGTGACTGTTGCAATAGAAATTTTCTACCAATCTATCACTATATATTTTGCATAAGAATTTTAAAAGTACGTAATTTCTACTTTGACAGTAAGTATTTCATTTTCTAACCCTCTACAACTATGAAATATACAAAAACTCCAACTCACCCCACTGTTCCTCCTGAATTTTTTCGGTCCACCTTGATCTCCCCTTCCACCACGTCCTCCACCTTGATCCCTTCCACCACGTCCTGTCCTTTTACCAAGAAGACCTTGTCGATTTGTTCTGACATCAAAGAGAGAAGGAATGGTCGACTTCCCACCCACAGGTGGTCCTTGTCCAAGTAAACCTTGCATATTACCACCACCTGGTCCTATCATACCTTGATTCTGACTTGGTCGTCCCTGACCTGTAATATTCTGCATACTTCCTCCCTGAGACCCCCTCATATTTGGCATGTTGCCCCCTGGCTGACCCATCAGACTTTGAATACTTCCTCCTTGCTGTCCCATCATGCCTTGTAAGTTCCCTCCTTGCTGTCCCATCATGCCTTGTAAGTTACCACCTTGCTGTCCCATCATGCCTGACATATTGCCTCCTTGCTGTCCCATCAGACTTTCCATACTTCTTTCTTGCTGTCCCATCATGCCTTGCACGTTTCCTCCTTGCTGTCCCATTATGTTTTGCATATTTCCAACTTGTTGTCCCATCAGGCTTTGAACATTTCCTCCTTGCTGTCCCATAATACTTTGTACATTTCCTCCTTGCTGTCCCATTATGCTTCTCATGCTACCACCTTGTTGTCCCATCAAACTTTGAACATTTCCTCCTTGTTGTCCTATAATGCTTTGCATATTTCCTTGTCCAATAATGCTCTGCGCATTTCCTCCTTGCGTTTCAACTCTCTGACCTTCCTGTCCAAATACAGCTTGCTGCATGTTACTTAGCAGACTATTTCCAGCATCTAAAAGGTTTCTACTGGAGACACTAACAGATGATCTATTCATATCATCCCCAAATAGTGAACTTCTTCCCATATCTTGTCTAAGGTGAGGTTTTCCTCTGCTGTCACTTAACATTAAACTTTGACTGTCACCAAGATGAGAACTCCTGCCACCAAGATTAGAACTCCTGCCACCAAAGTCTTGATCATCAAATATTCTCCTATTATTTCTCCTGTCATCTTGACTAAAATTATCATCCATCAAACTACGACTTACTTTTTGAGCCAAATAACCACTTCCACTTGCTGATGTACTATCACTGGGCATGCTCCTTCTGTTTTCATGATAACTACGATCCTGAATAAGGTCTCCAGGTAAACTATTTCTCCTACCATCATCTATGTCATTCCTATCAAATCCACCCCCAAGTAAATTTGATCTGTTACCCATTAGACTGGAACTTTCCATATTGTTAAGGAGGCTAGCTCTACTTGAATTAATTTGTTGTTGTTGCTGCTGTTGTTTCATTAATAAGCTGTTCATCAATTGTAACTGTGATTCCCTAACTTGATTACTTTGGTTGTCTATCTTCATCTGATTCTGAGTAGGCCTCATCGTTCCCTGCATCCCTGGTGACACATTACGCATTCTCCCTCCTGGAGGCGACATGGGCTGTGGTTGTTTAAATTGACCAGCATTTCCTCCCATTGCCATCATGCTAGGTCCAGTTCCTAGAATACCCGGCCCAGCATTTAGTTGTTGTTGTCTTTGTCGCCCTAGGTTACCACCTATCATACCACCTTGTCTACCTTGTGAGCCACCTCTACCTCTGCCTCGATTTCTGTTCATAATGGTATTTATAGCCTACAATGAAATTAAAATTCTCTTACTGTAAACATATTTTATTAAAGAAATTGTTATAATATATAGCTACAAGGGTAAAGACATAAATACGAAATATACAAAAGATTCAATAACTGGGATTAGGAAACAAGAGCAGTGCTCTTATATAAATCCGTCTCCCTAAAATTCTTTTAATCTATTACAGTATTGGATTCACTGAATCCTACAAAATCTGGAATATTAGCGCATTATTTTTGTCTGTTGGTACACATGTTTAAGTCAAATATCACAAGTGTTAAATCTTTTAACTTTCAAAGTGGCAGTTGACTGTGAATTTTTTCTAAATTTACCATACAACTTATTGTTATTTCGCATTGCTTTTCCTAATATTTCATCTTACTTTTGACAATCACTGATATTTTGTACTTTTATGCCTATTGTCAACTTAAAACTATTGTCTGATCGGTTGTCAGGGTGAATATTCGAAAGTAAAAAAAACATTAAAAAATAAAATTTAAATTCATTATTTCATGGAAGAGCAGACTAAAAATTTTCAGAGGTTGAAGACGAAAAACCCTAAATAGTACACAAAAATGAGAATTTTTTGAAGATATGCATTTTTAAGATCCATTTGTAAAGTCTGTCATCATGTCCTTTTTGTTATTTTGTATTACAAATTTGTTATTCAAACACACCTACTCTCTTGTTTTGACTCATTAGAAAGGTATTTCGCTTGACCCATATATTTTATTTTTTGATACTGTGAATTTTAAATGTTATTACATTAAAATGTAGCCTAAATATATACAAGAGTGCACACGCTGAAATGTCTCGCCTTCTTTACTAATCATTTATATTATGTTGATAGTCCTAAATATAAAGCTTTATTACAACTGTCACATAAACTTAACATTAACCAAGTAAACTAAACATTGACCAATGAACCATGAAAATGAGGTCAAGGTCAGATGAACCATGCTAGGCAGGCATGTACAGCTAACAATTCTTCCATACAACAAATATAGTTGACCTATTGTTTATAGTTTAAGAAAAACAGACCAAAACACAAAATCTTAACACTGAGCAATGAACCTTGAAAATGAGGTCAAGGTCAAATAAAACCTGCCTGACTGACATATAGATCATAAAATATTTCCATACACCAAATATAGTTGAACTATTGCATATAGTATTAGAAAAAAAGACCAAAACTCAAAAACTTAACTTTGACCACTGATCCATGAAAATGAGGTCAAGGTCAGATGACACCTGCCAGCTAGACATGTACACCTTACAATCATTCCATACACCAAATATAGTAGACCTATTGCATACAGTATAAGAAAAACAGACCAAAACACAAAAACTTAACACTGAGCAATGAACCTTGAAAATGAGGTCAAGGTCAAATAAAACCTGCGTGACTGACATATAGATCATAAAATATTTCCATACACCAAATATAGTTGAACTATTACATATAGTATTAGAAAAAAAGACCAAAACTCAAAAACTTAACTTTGACTACTGAACCATGAAAATGAGGCCAAGGTCAGATGACACCTGCCAGCTAGACATGTACACCTTACAATCATTCCATACACCATTTATAGTTGACCTATTGCATACAGTAATAGAAAAAAAGACCAAAACTCAAAAACTTAACTTTGACCACTGAACCATGAAAATGAGGTCAAGGTCAGATGACACCTACCAGTTGGACATGTACACCTTACAATCATTCCATATACCAAATATAGTAGACCTACTGCTTATAGTATCTGATATATGGACTTGACCACGAAAACTTAACCTGGTTCACTGATCCATGAAATGAGGTCGAGGTCAAATGAAAATTGTCTGACGGGCATGAGGACCTTGCAAGGTACGCACATACTAAATATAGTTATCCTATTACTCATAATAAGAAAGAAATTAACATTACAAAAAATGTTGACTTTTTTTTCAAGTAGTCACTGAACCATGAAAATGAGGTCAAGGACATTGGACATATGACAGACGGAAACTTCGTAACATAAGGCATCTATATACAAAGTATGAAGCATCCAGGTCTTCTAGCTTCTAAAATATAAAGCTTTTAAGAAGTTAGCTAACGCCGCCGCCGTAGCCGCCGCCGGATCACTATCCCTATGTCGAGCCTGCGACTTTTTCCCTATGTCGGGCTTTCTGCGACAAAAGTCGCAGGCTCGACAAAAAATAATAGAATATGAAGCCAGATGGTGTATCAAATATTTTTGCTTTATACGTTTTCAAAATCTAGATAAAACAGTCGATCAACTCAAACACGCCTGAACATAAAAAAACGTTGCCAGGAGCAGAGATGCAAATTAATGCTTTAAAAGATAAATCTTTTATCTTTCTGTGGAATTTTTTTAGACGAAATTTATGTTTATGCATAAAAAAGATCCTCAAGTATTGCACCTACACCATATACAAGCAACTGTTACAGCCGATTTCATTGAGTGTGTAGGAAAAGGTAAAATCTTTGGTTTGCTTGCTTGCTAGCTGAACCGTGAAGTCATTATTAAGTTAGGTAAACTACCCTCCTTTATGAGTAGATTAGTCCAACAGACAGATAGAATTGGTTATCTGTGGGACTAGTCTACTCATAAAGGAGGGTAGTTTACCTAACCTAATAATGACTTCACGGTTCAGCTAACAAGCAAGCTAACCAATGATAATACCTATTCCTACACACTCAATGAAATCAGCTGTAAGTGAAAATTTGTCTTTAATTTACAAGTTTACAAAATTCTTGAAACTCCATACTATAAATTAAGTATAAACATATATATTAGATGCAAAAAATCATAAATAAAGCACCTACATTAAACTTTTAAAGCCCATAGAAACAGATATAAACAATTCAAATTTACCAAGAGTTACATTTCTTTTATTTAATTTCAACTGTACAGCAGCCTGATCTGAGGATTGGCAAAATCCCTGGGTTTTATGAGTATTGCCCAGCCAAGTGGGAAATACTGGGAAAACCCAGGTTTTACTGTGTTTTAATGGGTAAAAGTTTAAACTGGGCAATACTGGGTAATATGAAAGACTGGTTTGTATTTTTAAGAGGATCCAGTAATCAATTACAAATGCAATACATAAAAGATGTATATACAAGACATACTATTTTAATTTATTAGCTCATTTGTTTGAGCTTTTTTGAAAATGTTTATATTTAAGAAAGTATCAGCTCTGTCTACTCACATGAATATACAATGATTGACAGGTAGAATACACACTATCTTGCCTATTGACAACAGCAGTACCAACTATTGTGCTAAGCTCAAACTACACACTAAATCAAACTATTGATTGACAGGATGATTTCATAATATTGAAGACAAATATACTGACTTTCAGGCAATGGAATACTTTTCCCAAAATAATCTATTGAAACTCTATTTCAAACTGAAAATTTTTGGTTATCAAAGAACATTCTTACAGAAAGTATATAAATCCTCATAGCAAATTTTCAAATTTAGCCTTAATAATATCACATTAGACTCAATCTGAGAAGTAGGCATGATATGTGGTAGTCTCGAAGAAAGATAAGAAGACAGTACATAAAAAATAATATTCTCTTAACATTAAATTATCAAGAAAACTATTTTGTCAGCAATGAATTTAACTTGATTGTGTATACATAATAATGGAATTTGTGTATACTTTTAGATGTGATTCTACAGTAAAACATGTTTTCATAAAACATTATACATGTTATAATTTGTAGTCTGTAAATTCAGAAATTATTGCTAGGTTTTCATTATTGCCAATAATGCAACTGAGTGAGTATCGTAAAAATAAGAACTCGCATTCTGATATCTGATATATATATATACATGTATATCTGTATGCAGATTTTCTTGAAATCACAATAATTAATCTCGCATTTTTGACCATCCTTCAAATATCGCAATAATAAATGCATGCAATAAAATCTGAATTTACAGTATATAAAGAAAAACCATACATTGTCTCGAAAATATAATTTTATTTGTACTCGGCTCAAAACAGGATAGAAAAGCTCGGCAAAGCCCGCTTTCTACCTGTTTCTAAACAACTCTTATAACTGTTCCAAATGAAATATTTTAGGGTAAAAACCATCATTTTTTAATTTGTAGCAGACAACGTAAAATTTCGGCAAGCCTGTATTGTTTATTGACATCATAAATAAAACTGTACAGAAACAGATTGTCAACGTCATAAACAAGGCGATATACGGTCAGTGACTGTATATCACAAATGAATATACGGTCAATGCAATTTGACTGCAAAAAAAGCACAGCTGCAGTATATATATATATATACCTGTTACTATGCAATGTAAGATGTGCACTGTCCATGTACATTAAACTGAAGAATTCATGAATATTTTACTAAAGCTTAAATTTGCTGCACATGATCAGTCTTATTAGGAAGGGTGTTGCAAGAAATGAATCTGTAATCAAAAGTTTGCTGCTATGCAAGATGCATTTGGTACAGCTGTTCTCAATGACTGATTTGTGTACAATGTGTCAATTATTTCAAAGGAACAAATAATAGTGTATTTGGTTTCTGGTATCATTGGGTTGCTGTCTCTTCCATGTATCATCTACATGTACATCTCTTTTGCAAAAATTTGAAGGGTGTAATTCATAAATTATAAAAAAATGTAAAATAAAATGATAAAAATTAGGCAAATCCGACTTAAAAATAAAACTTTGAATTTTAAAAACTCTACCTTTGAAGTAAATCAAATATGAAATTTGTTATAGTAGTAACCTATTTTTGTCTTTTAAACATAAAGCAAATGATCAAGACTATTAAAAATACTTTCAACTTTAAAAACTCTTTGAAGTAAATATGAAATATTTTATAGTTACCTTTTAGAGCTTTTATACAAAAATGTTCATGACAGTTTATCCTCTGTAAAGATTTAAGTACTAAACTTAGTACAAGAGTACTTAAAAAAGATTCTCCTACATTTAGCTGTACCTGCTTTTGTACTTACCAAA